AGTAACACTGAATGTAAACAGAATGTTTGTTTACAAGTAAACTCTACCAGACAGTTTTAACATGAAGCTTTAATAGTGCTATCAGAAACTGTTTATGTTGGCCGCTCAGTTGTTATCTCCAAGCATGAGATATCTGGAATATCTTTGCATTGATGAACACTGATGATGTTAAAATTCAACACAAAAAATGAGTGTTTGGCATCTATTAACACTGTTGTGTTCACAAGCAGCAGCTGTGGCTGTAGACTTTTAGTCTTGTTTTAATAACAAGCTAGATGTTTGAAGAAAGCAATATGGCCGTTTCTTTTAATAGCAGAGAAACAGCAGGTCTTTAGTCAGCAGACAGCTCCGGTTGAGGCCATTAAAAGCTGGCAGTAGTCATTAGTCACGGCAATTTAAACCGGGATTTCAGTGTAGACGCAATGTGACAGAGTTCATATACATGAATACAGATATAAAAACAAGTTTGTTATTAGTCTAAATTCTGCCATACCTTCTCACTTCCTCTGGGTTTGATTCTCTCCTCAGGTTTCGTTGGCTACCTTCCCAACATCAAAGAAATGGTTGCTGACTGGACAGGTGAAGACAATGACAGTGACCAACTGTTCTTCACCAAGATTTACATCGATCCAGCAAAAAGAGTAAGATTTGTTTCACTGCAGTGTTCACTTCATCCATCTGGATTTGGGTCGGGATTCTGTTCATTAAACAGTAATAATTAGTAATTATTTTTAATATTGTTGGCATATTTTACCATGTACCATACAATTCTCAAATAGTGGACTCAATTCCAGAGAACCAGGCATTTATTTCACACAGGCATTTATTTGTGTAATTATTTTTCATCATATTTTAGTTTTCTGCTCAGTTTTCTGCTCAGTTTTTATTTGCTGTTAATGCAAACTCACTTTCATATATACCTGTTGTCTTGATACATTCAATATTATGTATATTTCTATAACACTAATTCTGACAATAATTCCTACTGTCAGTAGCTGTGTGTCCATTAACATATTTTGAAGTATCACATTAACAAAGTTTTATAAAAACTGAAAAATAAAAATGTTATCGTGCTTAATGGGACATGGAAACACTTTCTTAGTGAACATTTAACTGCCATGACTGATGAGCTGTTTCCGCTGTGCTCCTTATCACTCCCATGGCTCTATAATACATCCATGATCTCTCCACACAATTCACTCGAAATTCTGTGAAATTTGGAAAACATTTGGCTGGAAACAGAGCTATTGAGACTCAGCACTTTAAGCACAGATGTTTCCTATTAAAAATCTTCCAGTAGCTCAGTATGCATAATCCCTCCTGTTAGCCCACTGTTTGTCCTGGCCACACCTGAGGCTGTTGTTTGAGAATCACTATTTTCATACTGGCTTTTATTTGCAAATGTATGCTATTAGATATAATTATAGCAAATACACTGAAAACAATGTATTTCTGTGTTTCAAGAAAGCCATAAATATCACATTGGACAGCAAATGCAGATTGTTCCAGAACCTTCATGGAGCCCTCGGTGAGTGTCTTGAATTTAGTTTGTTAGTCAAACCAGTGAATTCATCAAGCAAAAACATTCCTCCCACAGTCCGCCTGTTTGACTGGCTGCAGAGGTCCCTGCTGCTATGCTAGAAATGTTACCGTGCAGCCTTCCAATAACCCCTTTAAGAAATTGTATGTTTCTCATCATCCAGAAGGTAGCAGTGCTTCATGCCATTCACAACATGTGACACTAACCAGCCACTGTCAGTGAACAACCGGCGATTGCCGACATATTCGCTTACACATTTATGCTGTCCATGCCATGCTGTGGAGGTACACCATTCATTTTGCAAAATGAAATGACAAAAATCGGACAACAAAAAATCAGTGATGGACTCGCCAATTGCGAATAGCTGATAAATGTGTCCAATTGCCCAACCCTAACAAGCACATAAATGTGTTTTCACTGTGGCCACACTAAGATGTTTGTTTTAAATGTGACAGATAGCCCATCTTTGAAAAGTTAAACTCATTCACTGTTTGCTTTTCATTGCTTCAGTGATGATCAGGTCAGATTTCCCTCCTTTTATATTTACAATATGTGACCCTATTGCCACAGAGGTAACAGCACTTACAGGAAAGTGGAAGAGGCATTTTAATGATGTAGCATCATAGACATAGTGTAATCTGATTTACATTTACATTGTGTAAGCAAATATCGATACACTTGAGTATCAGAAACACTTAAAACATATGTTACAGTGAAAAACTTTATGGATATGGTCTTTACACTATGAATGTTTTCCTAAAAGAGAGACACTTCATGGGCGATGGTTTGCTTTGGTTTGTACTTAAGAAATGTGGTTAATGTACTATCACACTGGTCTACCTTAAAGATTTGAGGGATTTACAGTTTCTGTGATTTAGGCGGGGATGCGTGTTTAGACATGAACTCTCGGCAGTGTGCAGGTTTTTATTTTTTCCCTCTGAGGCTGTGGAAGGAATTTGTGAGTTCTCTGTGAGGCGGATGTGTCAGAGTTCACATAGACGACATCAGGAGTTGAGGGGCAAAAATCCTTACTCTGTAAAGCTCTTATATATTCACTGCTGCTTGCCTCGTCTCTTTTGCAACCGTGTCATACATTTTACATATACAGAAAGATCTATGAATAAATTAAGAACATGATGCGATCAAAGTAGAACCATGTCTTAAATATTAATATTGGCAATTGTACTACTAAGAAAAACACTTATTGAAACATGTATTTACACACAGCAAATATACAATCATAAACAAAGATCATAAATGATGAAGCAGTTGTTAGCATTATTAAATGAATTCCTGTCTCTTCCATCCTGATTGACAGGCTTTTTACTGCCCTCCCCCCACCCCTGACATTAATCTGCCCTACAGGGCCATGGCCGGGTTAACCTGCTCACTGACCACCCACTCTCAAACACAGACACATATGTGTTGAAGAAAATTCACCAAGTGAGATTTTGACAGAGGAATACAAGATCAGCCAATAAAAGACCCACCTGGTTTGATATTGTACTCAAATCTACAATTAACATAAAATCAAATTACCAAAAGTCAAGGGACAAACAGATTGAAAGATACCTATTGTGTCCAAAACAGCAGAAAGCACAGGAATATTACACAGTTAAACTTGCTTTATGTGTGTGTGTGTGTGTGTGTGTGTGTATTTCCAGATGAAGTGGTGCTGAAGTTTGAGGATAGACGGGTTCGAGCCAGAAATTTGCTGTATGATACCCTGCCTGTCATCATCCATGGGAACGGACCAACCAAGGTACTGACCTATCAAACCATACCAACCAATGGCACGCTTGAACACAGCAGCCTGATAAATCTAACCACCAGAGTCACTGCAGCTGTCTAAAGAATTCCATAACTTCAGTCAGCAGGTCTGTTCACACTGAAAACAATACAACACTTTGATTTTCCTGCATGTGACATGATTCAAACTTGCAAAGTATATGTAAAAAGGCGTTCTCAACACATCATCCGGCTGCTGAATCAGGCACTTCTCAGTTTGAGGACTACAAACTCCAGAGAGGAAATAAAGATGAAGGATTTAAAAGTGCAAACAGACTGTCAGCCAGTCCTGAGAACTAACATCTCCTTTTTCTACAAACATGGACACAAGTCTTGTGTCACACCTTAAGCTTTGGACACATGACTTTCAAAGTTGTCAGATCTTTGTACTGTTTACACTGCACAGCTGTTAGTCTTGTAATTGGGAGTATTAAAGTTAAATATTATACATATTATCAGTTTGAATTCAACTAAAAGCTCCCTGGGCCAAAACATCACATTTTAACAATTCCTAATGTGTCCGTGAAAACACGTAACTCTAGAAACCCAAGCTAAAGGGTGTCACTTGTTGACAGCCTTCTTGCAATTCAGCATCAATATAACCAATAAAGACTTCATTCCGTACAAACTTTACATTTTGTTGCCTCAGCTTCCTGAATGAACAACCAAACAGGCTGTTAGCTGTAGCTGACTGAAGTACTTTGCTGCAAATGTCAGCATAAGTCAGTTTAGATGCTAAATGTTGTGGTCCTTGTTTTCAACACTGTTTGTTCTTGGTCAGTAAGCTGCAGCTTTGTTGCATTGCATCTTGGTGCTCCTGCCAGTTCAGTTGTCAATTAAAGATGCACACCCACCCACCCAGAGGGTTAGAGGCTACAGGAGGATTTCTTATGGATCTTTTATTCTTCTAATCAATGATTGAAAAATGTACTTGGAGGTGTTATTTACTTCATAAGGGGATGGGCTTTCCATGATTTCAGTTGGACTTAATTGCTGTAGCATCCTAACAAGTGTCAGCCATGCCAAAGTACTCATAAATGTTGCTAAAATATAAAAAATCAGTCATTCTCTTCCTTAAGTACTGGATATTAGATTGAGATGTGATAAGCTTAAAGAACACACATTTGTTTTACAGCTCCAGATCAACTACCTGGGTAACTACATTCCCAACACATGGACATTTGAGAACGGATGTACACTGTGTCATGAGGAACTCCGCCCACTCACAGCTCTCAAGGTCTGTTCACAGGCTCTTGGCGATCACACAATTTAATTGTTCAGTGTAAATGAATATAAGCCCTTCCTCCTTGAACTGGAATATGATGCTTGTGTTTTTCCAACAGGAGAGTGAATACCCACTGGTGGTGATTGGTATCTTCATTCAGCAGCCCACCCCCTTTGTCACAGTGTTCTTTGAACGCCTACTGAAGCTCCAGTATCCCAAGAACAGGCTTAAACTGTTTATTTACAACCAGGTAACAGGAGGACATTTAATACATCATCTTTATCCTAAAATCCTTGGAGGCAAATGTTAATTCATATGAAATCCAGCCTTTATAAAACATAAGTACATTTAATGAGACAGTCAAAATGTAGTGATGTAGTGTAGGAAACAGAAACACTGATTATGAATTAAGAAGACACCAAAATACTTCGCCTAAAAATGAGCTGCCCCAAAGAATAATGTTTTGGGGTTTTTAGTTTCATTCACAACACAAACCAATAAAGGGTAAAAAAAAAAGGATGAATAGAAAAAGAGAATGAAAAGATAAGTTAATTAACGTATTTGAATCAAATTAATGCATCTTTCCCCTTCTCCTAAGAGTCATAATTGTAATTTTAATGAAAACAGGAACTGTTAACTTGCTAGGAGCTAATACAGCATGGCCTTTTATGGTGTATGTACATGGCAACATTATACATGCAGGGAACAGCAGTGCCAACAGTCTTTGCCTGAACAGCTTTGTCTCAAATAGAATTCATTAAAAGAAAAGCTGACAAAATCCATGAATGTTAGCTTTCTTTTTTTTTGATTTTGACAGAACTGTGGCCCAGAATGTCCCATCAGCATGGGACACTGACACTCTCCTCTGTTAAGCTGTATACAGATACTTGAGGTGTGTGCATAAACCTGTGGACATATAGTAAGGTCTCAAACGACAAACACTATGTAGTGACAAAGCAAAAGCCTGTAAATAAAGAGAGTGGAAACCAAGCAAAAAAGAGCAGATTTTTAATGCCTCCATCAAGAGCTTGTCATCAAAATAACAGCTATTGTTACCTCGCCCTAAAAAAAGCAAGCAGAGTTGACTGTCATCTATAGAAACAGCTACGGGGTGTACAAATATGCACCATAATAACGTGATCATAAATCCACCTCAGCAATGCAGATTTGGTGTTGCTTCATGTGTCTGTAGTAACTCAGACTCTATCTGTCCGTGCAGGAAACTCATCACGAGCGTCAGGTCAGCTCTTTCCTGCAGGATCATGGAAGCCTTTATCAGGATGTCAAATTCATCGGGCCTGAAGAGGAGATGGATGGAGTTGCCTCCCGAAACCTGGGATTGTGAGTTCCACGTAACCAGTGGTCGACTGGATGACGTGTCTTTGAGTTAAAATATAATATGTGGTGTCCTTAGAATATATGATTTAATGTTTAAGGTATTAACATCAGGCCATACGCCACACTGGTGGTCATTTTTATTTTCCTTTTTTTTATTTTTTTTATTTTCTCAAACCTGTAATGTAAAGTCTCTGTCTAATTGGCCAAATTTGCCATTGAATTTTCAGTCAGTGTTCCTATAAGTGAAGCCTTTGAATACTATGTCATATATTATATTTTCCATACAAAAAACGAGCAGTCTGTAGTGTATTTTTTAGATACAGTGGGTACGGAAAGT